GGGGCTCTGCGGCCGGGATTAAGGCCGGCCCTCGCGCCCCGCACGGCCAGGCCCGCCGCTGGGGGCCGCGGTCATTAACGCTGCGCCGATAACTGCAAACTGCCCGTGGAGAGCGCAGGGTTGCTTTGAAGGGTGGTTTTGTTAGCCGGAATGAGAACAGAAAAAAAAACCACCACTGGATGTTGCAGTACACTGCTGGATTTGGTGCTAAAAAGGAAAATGACTGTCCTGTGGAGCAGGAAGGGAGCTTGAGGGGACAGTGCCACCCCTTTGCCATATTTACTTTAATCGTGTGTTACTGGCTGGAGGTTTCGGCTGCCAGTGAACTTTTATTGAGGCCAGTAATAAAAGAAATTGATTTATCTATTTTTAAATCCCATTCTTCCATGTTGGGCGCATCGAGCTAGCTTAGGAAGGAAACACAACTCAGTTGGAAATGATCCTGCTGAGTACCTGAGTTTGCAGCTCCTACTTGGTGCTGACTGGGATTGTTCTGTGCAATTCTTCTCTGTCTACATCCAGAAGAAGGTTCAGACACTTAAATTGGGTTGGAAAAGTGCAGTTCTTGCATCTGAAATTATATGCAAGGTACTGTACAGCTGCTGTAAACGCTCCTGCTGTTGCAGGCCGTGAGGCATTCTGTGTTCCAAGCAAACTTGATTTGCCTGGAGAAATGTTTTCTTCTTCCTTTCTTTCCCTTTATATTTGTTTCCATTACGTCTAATCATGCTGTTGTGTAACTGAGTAGGTTTAAAGGCAGCAATTTCCAGTCTAGCACTTGTGACCAAGCTGAAGTTCACGTAAGCGCTTTGATAGCTCTTATATTATGAAATAGCTTCTGGGATTCACAGGATTGCAGCTTAGTGAGGAAACTGGAGGCAGAGAGCACCACTGGGGAGAACTGTTCCTGCAGAAGTACAAGAGTATTTCCTTGCAAAGACGAGTCCAGAGAGGAGCAGCCCCTAGGGAGGCGGGGGAACGAGGCACTGATCACTCTTCTGTCTCTGTGGATGAGTGATGAGTTTCTGTTCCAGACCGTTGCCCTCTGTAGAGCAACCACTGCACCAGGCTTCTACCTCAGAGCCCTGGGTGCGTTTTGGAGTGCCGAGATGCTGTGGCAATGCTGGCCAGGATTAAAGCAGCACAGGAGTTCAGCAGTCCTGAGCAATGGGCCGTCACCTAAATAATGTTCCCAGCAAGGTAGTCCAAAAGCCAAGAGCGAGGAGCCTAAGCTCTGCTTAGGAGTACTTCTCACCATCCCACCGGGGCTACTGGATGCAGTCTCTAGTTGCACGTGAATGCAGCTGGTCATTACTGTGAGGAGGACACAGCTACAATAATATCCAGTAGACAGCATATATTCTTCCCTCAGAGAACAGGTTCCTAATATATTTCACTGGAAGAAAATAAAAATATCTCCATTCTCCTTCTTCAGTTTTAAATATACTTTTTATCTGGGAGGACCTCATCTGTCTATCAGATCTACTTTTTGTGCTCTTCTTATGACTTAGATTGGCTTACAGACTTCAGAATTTCTAAAAAAAAAAAGCCAGCCTTCTTGAGGGAAGCTTAAGAAACACATGCCTGCTTGTGTAGCTAAATTGCAGTTGTGATTTTATTTATTCTTTAAACAATAGTCAGAACATCATTAGACTATTAGATAAAAGCCTTTCCACTAATACATACTATGTGTGTTCTCTTTGTCATGTTAATAAACTAGAATAAGTGAATATCATGTGTGGTAACTTGGATTTAATGTGGGGCTCTTGCCTGCTATTTCAAGCTTCATTTAAAACCTAAGGAGAAAGGAAAATCTCGCTTTATGGGCTTAACTTCTACTTGTTTACATTCATCTTGAAGGGTGCTGGTGACAATTTGGAGGAAAAAAAATACATCCTTCTTCCTGTTAAACTGGTTCAGCTTTTGTTTTGGCTGGACTTTGAGACAGGAGGGAAAAAAAATAGGAAGTCTGGAAAAGGGCAGGAGGGAGGAAATGAAGGTGCCAGGTAACTGGAGCCTGCAAAATAGAGGAAGCAGCATACGCTAGGAGAAGAGTTTTGAAAGCAAGTGGTGGTGGATCACAAAGCTGTCACACCAGTCTGCCCTACCCATGGCAGGAGAGAGGTACTTGTAAAGATATGTTTGCTCCAGGTAAGCTCCAGAGTGGCCTCCGATAGTGCCGCTGCACTGCCGGGTGCAGGGCGCTTCCGCAGTTAAGTCTTGGGGTGACAGCTGTGTCCGACAGAGCATCCCGAGCTGAGCTCTGCCTCGAGCACCTCTGTTGTCTCTGCAACGCCACTGGGTGCTCTGTGACACTAGCTCTTGAGATGCCTCTTTCTGATTAATGTATTGCTGGGCTATTGCGCTGTATTGAAGACTGTTTCTCCCACTTTGCTCTTTCCTCCGCTAGATTAAGCAGCAATGGCATTTGTGAAAAGTGGATGGCTGCTCCGGCAAAGTAAGTAGTCGTGGGCCTTCTACCTACTTCTCTCCCCACTCTATCTTTTTCAGAAATATCTCAGCAAATCAGTATTCTCGGATCTTTTTAAGAAGATTGTAGGATTTTTTTCCCTTTTTTTAATTTTAGGATACTTCACAAAATGGTCGTGAGAGCATTTCCATGTGACCTGCTGGGTTATAGCAGGGGGAACACAGGATATACCACATCTGAGGTGTCTGAGCATTGTGCCCAGCCTCAGACGCTGGTCTGTGCTAAGTGCTAGACCGGTGGAGACTTGGAAACTTTACCTGACCCCTTATCATAATGTTTTCAATTAGTCATGCTTTCTGCTTGTTCCTGCAGCAAGCTAGAACTAAAGCACTAGGTTATGTAATTAAAATAAACTCGATTGTGACGTTGAATGCTAGATAAGATGTTGAAACAAATTCTGTGATGTTCTGAAGCAGGAAGTTAATACAAAATTTATTAGGAATGAGCAGTTGGAACCTCTGAATGGCTTTGTCCTTCATGTCAACTCGGAAGGATGTGCCGGTTTTAATTTTGAGAACATAGATAGGGAAGTACTTGTGTCTTGCAGTTCATAAAATTAACTGTCTGATTTTTAAGGTACTATTTTACGACGCTGGAAGAAGAACTGGTTTGACCTGTGGTCTGATGGCCGCCTAATATTCTACGATGATCAGAATCGCCATGATTTAGAAGACAAAGTTCACATGCGAATCCATTGCATCAACCTCAGAGTGGGGAATGAATGTCGAGGTAATAGGCCAGAACTTCTGTGTTTAGAGCTTCTTTTCAACTTGAGTGTCTGCCCAGTATACCCTTTACTGCAGAAGTAAACTTGCCCAGAAAATTCTATTGCCATTTTTTAAAAAATGAAACATTAAATACATATAAAGATGTCTGCAGCATAGTATCACTGTGTGATAGGACAGCTTGAGGTTTGATGCTTCCTTTTAAAACTCAGAGGGAAGACAGTACCAGCAATGCAGGAGGCAGGCATGGTTGTGAGAAGGAGGGTGCTGGTAGTAGCCTGCCATGTGCCTAATTATGGAGCACTACTGGTGTAATTACAGTTTGTTGGAGTTAGAGGCAGGCCTGGAGATGGGAAACCCCAGCAGGCTTTTCTCAAGCATTAAGTTTATTTCTAGCATCAGTTAGACTTCCACTTGATGTTGTGTTAGTAAAAGACACAAGTGTTGGAGTACTTACTGCTAAGTATGTATTGGTTTTGCTGTAAGGCACGTGCATTTTTAAACAATGCTGCTCATGACTAGTTCCTTTCAGGACATGCCGGAGGGAGAGCAGGTTATTTCCTTTTGTAACTTGTCCTGGTGCCTGGGAAAACCAGCTGTAATTAGCCTGAGTTTATTTTGTCCAATGTTCCGCACAAACCATTTCCCTTCTAGGTAAGTGGGATCACGATACTCTGGTTATGGACATTTTTCAATTCATGTTTTTCTGGCTCAGATTTCCAGCCTCCAGAGGGGAAGCAGAGAGACTGTTTACTGCAGATTGTTTGTCGTGATGGGAAGACAGTCAACCTCTGTGCAGAGAGTGCAGATGACTGCCTGTAAGTCTGCCAAACAATATTACTTTGCTAGCTCTTTCTCTTTCACCTTTCCTTTTCTCCCTCTCCCCAGTTGTTTGCCTTTGTTTGGACTTTCAAAGACATGTTTCAAGAAAATTTTCAAAAAAGTAAAAGGCAGTTCAGCAGACTTCCAGTGACAAAACACATTGCTCCCTTAAAAGGGGTTGTCCAGCTCATGTAAGTGTAGTTCTTCTAAACTAACTGCAAGGGAGTCGCTGAAAACTGATTAAATATGATATACACAAGACATGCTAAATAAATTTTTCTTCCTTCCATTCTTTAAGTAGTACATAACTCTGCATAGCTCAAGGACGTCCCAATCAGCAAGGAAGGACACTGTTGTCGTGCACTTTCAGCTGAGCTTGGCTGCATGCAGTTGGTAACACACATCACAACACACATCCAGTGTTTCCCCAGGAGGTGTGGTGAACCGGGTGTCTTCCCAGCCGTACGGCATGGGAGTAGCTGTACTGGGACCTGCACTGTCTATCCAGCAGAAATGCAGCTCCTGAAGGAAAGAGATAAAACTGTCCTTGTGCGTCTCTTGCTATTACTATATTCTAAGCATGGCTACATATTACGTGGCTGTTGTACTTACAGTGAGAACCTTCGAAATTGCGTGTGTTCCTTCCCTTGTTCTTCATTCCTTCTCAGCTCTGTAAGAGAAATAAGTGTTTTTCAGTCTTTAGTATCTTCATTTTTGTATGTCATTATGCAGTGCTTTAAACTCGGCTTCTGTAGCACCTCTAGTTACTAGCCTTGCTTTTTGCAGACTCCTAAAAAGTGGCATTATTTTTTCATAACTCTTCCACTAAACAAGGTTTCTTTTAGGGCATGGAAAATGGCTCTCCAGGATGCCAGAACAAACACAGTAAGTGTACTACCCAGACATACTGGGAGAAAAGCAGCCTGTCAGTGCTGTCTGTGGCCCAGCACTTACCTTTCAGGTCATGTTCCATCCTCCTCTACTGGAATAAAACAGGGCCATAAGCATGATAATGAGAATTTTGTGGCAGCAGCCTGTCTGTGGGGAGAACAATGATTGCCTGGATCACAAGTACGTCATCCCTGCAGTCAGGTCCAGGGAATAACTGGGAAGCTCATCTTAGGGAAAGTGAGCACTGATGCTGCGGGCAAAAAGTAGATCTTATGTAACCAATTGAAACACATTCTCCACTCCTTCTAGTATTTATTGCCAAGGTAAAGGAAACTCATACGTCATTCCTTTGGTCTAAACAGGAGTCTGTTTGTTACTATAGATTCATTGCACTGTGACCTGCCTCTTGGCAGGGAGCAGGGGGAGGAGAAAGAGGTGCTTGGAGGGGGGAGTGGGCATGCCAAGGAAGAGGGGAGAGGTGGCTCAGATGTGGCTGAGAAGTGTGCCACCTCTCTGGTAGAATGTTCAGGCACCTCTGCAGGCTACCCCATCTGCTTGCTTGATGGGGAAGGCAACTCACAGGCTTGCAGAACTTTGTGGTACCACTCCAGAGGGCCAGGAAGTAGCTGAACTTAGGTATGAAGACTTCTTTATTTGAGAACTGAGGATGAACAAGGGGGTAGCCTCTCAAACAGGGAATGTGAAATGAGGGAGGAGTCTGTTTGCATGCACATGCATGCAGGAGAAATTGGATGGCTCCTTCCTGTGGGTGATCAGGCAGTCTCAAAATAGTGTCTTGTTGCAGCATTGTATACAGTACTTCCTACTTTCTTGACATATGACATCCATACGCATTACTCTCACTGGGTCATTAGGTTTTAATCTTTGCACTGCTCTAACTGCCTGTTCGTAGAAGGCAGTAACTGCTTTCTCCATGATGTTTAGGGTTATGTGGGATCTGAAGTGATGTACGATGAGACGGCCCCTCCTCCCTATACAGCGTACGCTACACCGTCACCGGAGGTAAGAGCTGCTGTCAGCAAGTGCTAAAATATGTGACGTAGCAGAAGCAGCCATTCTTAATGGCATCCAGCACATGTTTTAGCAAGCCTTTAACTGCACTGTAAATAAGGGAGAATTAAACCAAGTGCATAATTAGATGCTTGGCAAAGAAACCTTCTGTAATGGACCTTTTTTTATCTCTCCAGGTTTATGGCTATGGCTATGACCAGTATAGCAGTGGGTATCCCCCCACCGGTCCTCAAGTCTTCTATGCCTCCAATGGACAAGCCTATGCTGTTCCCTATCAATATCCCTACCCAGGTAATTATTATCAACCATATCTTCCATCTGCATGTAGAATGTATCTGAGTAATTCTTTCAGGCTTTAATTCTGTTAATCAGCATCCTTTTCATATTATAGGGGGCCTAGTTGCAGCTTGGTTCAGATGTAGCATATTGACTAAGACACCCTTTTCAGGTTCCTTTATCACCCACCACTCCTGCACAACAGTGTGATAGAATGAAGCCTGACTTCTAACTGGAACCAAAGCCCCACTGCCCTTTCACAACACAGAAAGTGCGATGAAATTTGTATTAGATGATCTAATGTTCCCAGTATGATCCCAACTTATTTAAATTACTGTATAAATCTTTCTGAAGCACATGGAACTCTTTAGTTAAATAGTGAGCATGATTTCTAAGGAAAGATAGGAGAGCTACAGCAAGATTGGCTCAGTACTCTAAATCAAGTATTTGGGGAGCTTTCGGTTTCTTTGTCTCCCTATATACATACCTCAATTATATCAACAATGATATTCAGATATGACGCTAAAAACAAAGGCAAAATTTTCAGAGGTAAACCCACTCCCAAAGCATGGTAGAAACTGTTTCCTCTTCTGGATCTCGCAATTGCTGTGAGGAAGTACATTCTGCGCTCTGAAATCTCCTATTGCTTTGTTTAGAGCAATGTAACTCTCAATCCCTCAAGCGAGAGGGAAGAGGCTAAAATTTTAGGGTGTGCTTTTAGCTGGATTCAAAGCAGAGATGTATTCTGCCATTGCAGCTGACATCATCTTAGTGTTCAGGGAAAGAAAGTGGGTGAAGAGAGAAATCGGCATGTTTTGAAATCCCAGTGCATAGAACTAAAATCTACGTTTTTCTTCTCCTCTCAACAACCTCTTATAACCTAGGACCTTATGGACAGCCCCCTGCAAACCATGTCATCATTCGGGAACGTTACCGTGACAGCGATGGAGATCTGGCACTGGGCATGCTTGCTGGAGCAGCAACTGGAATGGCCCTGGGATCATTATTCTGGGTTTTCTAGATTCCCTAGTTCCTTATCTTTGTAGTTCCAGAAATCTTTATTTAATTCTGCGTGCAATAATTATATTGGCAATGTTGTTTACTGTTTAACTTTAAGAAATGCAATAGTTACTTTTCAGTAGTGACATCTTAATAACTGATTCTTAACCGTCCTAAGGAGAGTTTAAAGGCACTATTTAGTTGAAGTGGTTAAAGATGGCATGTGCTGCTCTTGAACTCTGCTGTGATGTTTGGAGTCTTAAGGATTTGTACCAATACAGATCAATATTAGCACTAACATAACACAGTAGCAGTCACTAGGTTTATGAACAGCTTTATGTTTATAAAAACCCCAGAAAGATATTTTTTGTCCAAATATAAGGTTTATAGGAGCCTCACATTAGAGTGCACATACTCTTGCCTTCTAAATGTCCTTGGACAGACACATAGCCTCAACACATACTCCTCAGCACTAGGTGGACTGTAACACTTGAGAATATTTTAGTTTTAAACCTGCCTGCAGATGGTAGTGTATTTTTTTAGATGGAGTCCTATATATATCTCTTACCATCCAGGCAGATCACACTTTTTGAGAATGTATAAATCAACTGCTAAGAAAAAACACTCCACAGTTCTTTCATTCTTCCAGATAATGTGAATGACCAGTGGCAAGAAAGATAAATGCTTGCTGCTTCTTTATCCTGCATTACTCTTCTCTGGTCAGACAGAAGCAATGAAACTTTAGCTTCAAAAGTTGTCTTCCATGTCTGTACCAGCTGCTCTGCTGAAGAAGAGGCCCTTGGCTAGTTAGCGTGTGCGCCTATTACTGCTGACACTCTGCAGTCTTCTCTGCAGGAGAGCTAACGTGAACGCCCCTTGTCCTGCTGGGCCTGGCAGAGCCCCTTGCATGCAGTAATAGTGAAAGGGAAGAGAAACAGTCTAACAGCACGAGCAGACCTTGCACACAGGCACTTTGTCAGCTGCCTTGCCATGGCTGGGACAGCACCCACCTACAGCCTGCAAGGTTTCCTGCACAGATTAATGTTTGCAAGTAGGTTCGAGCACAGCTGAGACTGCTTTGCTCTGTGCACACTTTTCCCCCCAGCAACAGGTCCCACTTCCCCTCTCATGATTTGTTAAGAAAAACACCCCAAGGAAGCTGGGTGGCTTTGCTCACATGCCTGTTCCTTCCAGAGCAGCGGCTGCGCTACGGGCTCTCGCCCAACACAGCACCGCGGCCTGGCACACTGTCTTGTTACCATCCACACTGGCTGTGCTTGGCAGAGGAAAGAAATGCACGTACTTTCATGATTACCCAGAAGAGGTAGGGTGCCTAAGTTGTGTTCTTTGTTGTAAGAGGACTTATTTTTATACTTGCACTTTTAGCTTCTTGTAATCATTCTGTTTGAATAATATAAGGCTTACTTCTTTTTAAGTTTCTTTTAGAAATAGATTAATTTTCTCAAGGTTTCTCAAGGGCTTATGGTACGCCAGAAAAGATGAAAAAAGATAAGGCTGGCACCATATAAACTTAGACCCACCCTCACACAAGCTTTTTCATCTCACCCTCAAGCTGCCTTGGCTGGGCCTGTGTGTTGAAGCAATACAGGCCCCGAGCACAGTCTGGACAGCAACCAGGGCAAGCACTGAGTTCTCCTGACTCTTGTACCAACATGAACAAACGGACATCACCGAAAGTAGACAGACAGGTTATCTTGACTGTAGTACTAACTGTGGCACGATCCAGGGAATGCAAGCTTTTTCCGAGAAACCTTGGATGGGAGCTGCATACCTATGTGCATGCGGGTCCTTGCGCAGATGAATAGAAGCTGCGTGTGTTCTGCTAACAATACATACCCAAGGACTTCATTTGTTGGAGGTTCAAAAGAGGACTAAAGCATAAAGTCTTCAATTGCTAGGCCAAAAGGAATTGGCATGCACTACGGAAGCTCTCTTAAGAGGCTTGGTACCCTTGAGCTCAGGAGAGTGGAGCTTAAGTGAACAAACATTTCTAACCTTTTCAAACCTTGAGATAACCTTGAAGCTGATTGATTGTGCATCTGCTGTTTAGCGTCATTTGAGCTTTGCACTCTTAGCTGTTTATGCAGAATGCCTCCATCTCTTCTTCCTATGTGATACTTAGCTTGTTGGGGTGGGGAGAATAAAACAATTGAACATCATTTTAACTTCCTTTGAATTTCATAACGATGGTGAAAGAATAGCACAGAATGACTCAGCTAGTAATTTATCATAAGTTGCGCGTTTTTCCAAGAGCTGTTGCTCACAGCAGGGTAGCGTGCATCTTGTGCTCGCAGGGGGTAAGTCTATCTAGATCCTGAGTTTATGAAAGGGAAATAGAAAGACGATCATTCCTAGGATTAACTCAAAGCTTTCTGAAAGTTTAAATTGGAGTAAGTCCCCATTTAAAAAGATACCATACCAAGTAGTATATTTCTTGGGGAAAAAAATACAAAGTGAAGCTGGAAATTCCCGTTTGTTCTTGATACATTAGGCTGATTTTTACAAAAATTGTCAGTGACTTTTTTATCCCAGTAGCACAGCACTTGGGTCACAACAAGCCCATGCAGCACTCCAGGGTTGGGGCAGAGCTGTGTGGCACCAAAGGAGCAGGGGGTGCTGGTCAACACCCACCCCGAACCCGAGCCAGCAGTGGGCCCAGGAAGGCCAACAGCCTGCACTCTGGTATCGGGAACAGTGTAACAGTGTAACGGCAGGAGCAGGACAGGATTGTCCCCCTGTGCTCGGCGCTGCTGAGGCTGCCCTTGAACACTGTGCTCGGGTTTGGGCCTCTCGCTACCAGAAGGACGTGGAGGTGCTGCAGTGTCCAAAGGCGGGCCATGACGTGCCTTACGAGGAGTGGCTGAGGGAGCTGGGTTATGCAGAGGAGGAGGCTCAAGCGGGACCTTACTGCGCTCTGCGAGTACCTCAGGGGCAGCTATATTGGGCAGCTATATATCGCGTCTGGACTAGGGTCGAGGATCAACACCTGGAGTCAAGTGCAGGGTCAGATCTGGGTCAAGGTTCGCAGCAGGGTCCAGGATCCAGGTCTGGGGTTGGTTCCAGGGCTGGGTCCGGGATCAAAGTTCATGGTTAGGGTTCGAGGTTACGTCCTGGGGTAGAGAAACGAGGTAAGTTCCAGGGTCAGGTTCAGGGTTGAGGTCAGCGGTCAAGATCTCGATCAGGTGCAAAGTCAAGTCTGGGGTCAGGGTTTGCAGTCAAGGTCTGCGTCATGGTCGGGGATCAAGGACTACAATTAGGTCTAAGATCAAGGTCTGCGGTTGTCACAGGGGTGAGCATTTGAAAACAAAAAGACCAAGCAAGTAAAATTGCAGCTGTTGGGGTTAGAGCTCAAGTTGACATAAATCAATCATTTCAGTTACTACTTGAAAAAGGTGAAGTATCCTCCATAAAATCAGCAGAGTAACTCTACGCTCGACATCAGTACATCCAAGGTTAAGGCCTATTTGTTTTTTTTAAATGGCGTTGAAGGCTTAGACTCAGAAATGCCTAATCCTGGATATGTGTAATGGTGATCCAGATTTACCATTTCACACCGTATTATCAAATCATCAGATTTGTGCTGTCTAGTATTAAAATAAGCAGCTTGGAGCACAGATGTTGCTCCAGGCAAAATGCTACTGGTTGCTGTATCAGTATTTTCTGCTTCTGAACTGCTTCAGTGCCATCGGCTACAATCAATAGCGACACTAGATGACCACAGCTAGCTCCACCTCCTAAGGGCCAACTATCTTAAATGCTTCCCAGTTATCAAACCATTCACCCAAGGACCCCAGTGTGTTTTGTGAAACACTAGCCTTGCTTTAGGCACATTCTGTTTTACTGTCCAAGAGGTGATGGGTTTCCTGAGAACTAATCTGGGAGAGGAATGAAAACAAAAACACAGTTTCAAGCAGTCAGTTAATGCAGGAATACATTTTGCCTTCCTATCCCTCTAAGCCATGGTGATAATGCTTATTTTGTCAGTCATAGGTTCAGATTACTGAAACTTCTGCCCCAGAAGGAGTCAGGGAAGCACATTGGCTGTGCAAGGCCTAACAGCTCCAAACACCCCGGTAGTGCCAAGGTCCTGGATGACACTTGGCCTGCGGACAGCCTTTGCCTCTCTTACTGCATCCCCTGGCTTCTTTGCCTTCATTAAATGCAGCCATGGTAATTAACTTGGGTTGCAATCCTAAAAGCACCTTTGTTTGTCCCTCTCCCATGCTACAGTTCCACCACGATGTATTGAAATGAGTGTGGAGCATTCACTCTTCCTTCTGTTTTTGTAAATGGAAAGTTTTCCCTCCTACTATGTTGTGGGCATGGACTAATTATCAATCAGAGCTTGTAACAACGGACTCACATTAATGCACTAGTTTGGGGATTAGCACAGGCTATGTCATTAGCTTTTGGAGTTTTCAAGGCATTTCTAAAAGGCTTGAGACCTACAGAGCAAATAAAATTGCCAAGGCATCTCTCTAGCAGTAATTTAAAGCTTACACTTTGGTGATGATTTTGAGGCACAGGTTGGGAAAGTTTGGAATTGACAACACCGGGCTTAATGTGACTGAATATGATAGTCACAATATTAATACTGCCTTGCAGTATTAATTGGTACCTGAGGTACCAAAGCTAAATACCAGTTTTGGAAAAGCTTAGGCTTCAGATGTGACAGATAAGGAAAGGTTAAGAACAGAGCCTGGCCCAAATTATCACAGATAAACATGAGCCTGCGGGGACCAAGATCAATCTACCCAGTTTGCGATGCACCAACAAGCACGGGGCCACGCAACCCGCCAGCACCCTGCCTCTTGGGCAAAATCCACGGGCATCTCTGGCACACTCGCAGCCGGGAGGGAAAAACACAGCTTTCCTGGCAGACAAGGGCGCTGCCTGCACTCAAGCTGCTGCTTTGTCCCTCTGCAACCCCTGCTGCAGCTGTGCGCACAGTGCGCAAGTTTGCGATGCACCAACAAGCACGGGGCCACGCAACCCGCCAGCACCCTGCCTCTTGGGCAAAATCCACGGGCATCTCTGGCACACTCGCAGCCGGGAGGGAAAAACACAGCTTTCCTGGCAGACAAGGGCGCTGCC